TGGGCTACTTGGAGAAGGAAAAAAAAAACTACATGGTGAATGATACCTATTTCATCAGCTCCACCATAGCAGAGTCAAACCACTATTTGCAAGAGGTAACTAAGAACTACATATTACAATGTAATATGATGGCAGAATGCAGTCAGTTTTCATCACTGACGCTTTACTTCTAACAACAGCTCAGGAAGTCTGCTGTAGGCAAGTTAGAAATTTGCTGTATAGTCAAAACCATGATCCTGGTGAAAGGAAATGGAAATGGTGCTTCTGGATCATCTGACAGCAGCCGCGTACTACAGTTTTAGAGAAGCTCAACATCCGGAACACTCCTGTAGAGATGGGGAAGGGCTGCCCAATATCTTGTTGGCAAAAGAAAAGCAAAATTGTGATTGTATTTAAGCACATTCATATTTAAATCATTGAGTTGCATTTTCAAATTGGAGAAAGAGGATGTTAAAAGCCCTTGAAATGGGAATTTCAATATACTTAATAAACCCTCTGTGGCTTTCCTGATAAGCAGTGTCCAGTTTTGAAAAACCTTTACACCTATTTCGAAGCAAGTCTATTTAACTCAATAGGATTTAGTTTGGAATGAAAATGTACAGGTTCAGGCTTCTTAATCGTTTTATAACTGGAAAGCATTAACATAAATCTAAGTAATAAATATTATAGAGAACTGATGGAACATTGGATAATGTTCTTTCTCTACTTACCCTAAAAAGAAAAAAAAGGAATGATGTTGCAAAGAAGGCAAACAGTAAGTGAAATAATAGTTCCAAAGGTTATTAATCTTTTATTGGATTAATTCTGTATTAGGTTTTCCGGTTTATTATATTAAAAGAGCAATAGCCAACTTCAAAATCCATCGAAGAATGAAACTGGAAGAAAAGGGATATGAGAAAGTTATGATTACCAAACTTTATATTCCCACACTACTCTGAATCATAAACTAACCAAACAGGCTAGGGTTTGCACAATATGCTAAACTCAAAAGTAAAACCTGCCATGCCATGCCATGATTAACATAATTGAGAAAAGGAGAGAAAGACAATTTAGAACTGATAAAGATATAGTAAAGGAGCTACTTTGCAACCTTAAAGGAATTTATAAACAAATAAATTTAGGTTTGAGACCAAGCACCATGTAATGGGGTGAGCTCCAGCCCTCGCCCCAGCTCCTGCCCAGCATGCAAAAGTAGATAAACAGGTACCACTGCAGTGGGAAGCTAACTCCATGACATCATGCTGGCCACATGACTGTGGAAATGTCTTCAGATGGCACTGGTTCAGTGGCCTTGAAATGGAAATGACCACTGCCCCCTACAGTCGACAATGACTAGCAGAGTGAAATCCACAGGGGTCTTCTATACTCATAAATGGCATATGTCTCCCTTCAAGGAAGCATCAGGTAAGATAGGCTCCAATACAACCCAGGATTACTCACCCTTTTTATAAATGGCTTTTACAGGATGGAATGGAAAGATTTTTTTCCCAAGTTGTAATACCAAGCTATAAGGATTGGCTAATCCTTTACAGGACACAATCCCAGATAGAAATTATCTCAACATGCCTAAACACCCCCAATTCAACAGGCTTATATTCATTCATGTCCAATGGAATATCCTGCTTTTGGGTAGGAAAAGTCAGATATACAAGTAGAGGATTGGGAAGCTATGGTTAGGTGGCAGGGCCCATGAGAAGACTCTAGAGCAGGATGCATCATAGCGAAACCGTGCCCATCCCATTGCAGCAATGGCAAAAAAGTCGCAATACGTCGCAACACGTTAAGTGACGTGAGTTTGACACCCCTGCTCTAGAGAATAGTGAACCACTAGCTGACTAAGAGGAAATTGATGCAGCAGCTCAAAAGGCCAGTGCAATATTGGGTTGCACTAACAAAATACTAATCAAATCAAATTATTCCACTGTGATTCTACTAAATATCCCAGTAGGTTGATTATCCAATGCTAGACTGGACAAAGACACAGGGCTGGTCTAGATGACCTCCAAGGTCCCTTCCAGCTCTATTCTATTCTATGAACAGGGTTCAGAGAACATCTATTTAGACTAAACGCTGTAAGTGTAAAGAACAGAGAAAGGAGCTAGCCTTCTTTAGCTTGCAAAAAAATATATGTAAGAACAGTCTACTAAAATTTAAAAGATTGTTATATGAAGGAGCTAAAAGGGGTGGTGACAGAACTACCTTCTTGCCTATTTTAATATCTCCTACCAGTTCAATCAGCAGTGAGAGCTGCTGATTGAACTTGTTGTAAGTTGAAAATAAGAGCTGACCAGGATCTAATTATTAGGAAGACTGAGCACTGGGAAGCAATGAAACAGACTCCCCTCTATCAATAATAGCTTTTCCTCTCTGGAGGTTTAAATGAGGGGCTGAATGCACCAGACAAAAGGTTGCACTAGAACTAGATGATTATAACTCATCAATTCCATGAAGAAACAAAGACCAAGCTTAGCACACGCATTGACCAAACGTAGTAACTAAGTCCTTTCTGACCTGCGTTAATTGCGTTGTATTACTACAGCTATCGCGATTTCGGTCAGGATCGGGTGCAGCCTTTCGATCTAAAGAAAACCCCTAGGCGAAATTAACACTAACTGAGTTTAGCATGTAGCAGCGAGACTTGCAAACGTTCGCTTATGCGAACTCAGCTGTCGTTACAATTCCTAGCCGATGTACTTCTGTCACACTCCCGCTCCGTTAACTCATTCTAGCCAGCAACGTCCAGCAGAGAGTACGGCAGGCGTGGTGTACATACTAAGGACCGGGAATTCCCTCTACGTCGAGGTGACTCTTCTGCACCACTTTCGAATCTTGCCTTAATTAACCTAAGAGCTTCTCACGCTCCAGGCTGCGAGCGAGCGCGCGCGCATCAGGTCCCGGGGATTTCGCCTTGCTGCGTTATTGGATCGAGCAATTACGCCCCGGGGCGGGCTCGACTTTACGTGCGCTTGGCTCTTCTATTACCCGGTGGTGTGTTTGGGGGGGGGAGGAAACGCCTCTGCAAATATCCACAAGAACGAGAAATGTCCTGCTTTTGTCTTAACAGCCAAGAAAGCAACGAGATTCCAGCAGCCCCCACCCGCTTATACTCCGAAGACGCTTAGCAAGAGAAAGAAGCGCCGAGCTGCCCGAAGCCAGGGAAGCGCGGCGCGTGCGCACTCGGCGACTTCCAGCCTCCTCTCCCGCTCCCTCCCTTCCCCACCTTTACTCGAAGCGGCTACCAAGCGCGAGTGGATGTGGCGTGAAGCTTAGCGGAGCTGCAGCCGCCAGGGGAAGCCGTTTGCCTGCCTCTGGAGCCCGAGGCAAAGGCAGCCAGAGAAAGGGAAGAAGGAGTCGACCAGGATTTCCCCCGGCCCGCGGCAGAACAACCGTCGCCCGCCCCGTGTGTCCCCCCCCGCACGAGGCTCTCTCCCGCCCGCAGATTCAGAAGCTGCCCTTTCGTGCCCAGCTGCCAGGCGTAGGTAGGGCGGAAGGAGCAACAAGTTGTTGCTGGCTCTCGAGCGGCGCTGCTCCCAACCTGCTCGCAGCTGGCCCTGGAAGCAACTTTGTGGGCTCCCCTTTGGCGGGGGGACGAACTGCTCCCTCCAAAGCAGAGAGCCCCCTCTTCTTTCCCTTTCGGAGACGGCCGGCGATCCACCCCGCCTCAGCCACTAAGGACCACCGGCGCCAAGCTCTCGTTCGGGTCCGCCCAAGGGCCAGCCACTCCTTGCACTTCACCTGCCTCCGGGAAAGTGCCCAAGACAGCTCCGTTGCGCCCCCGGAGGACTGGGCGAAGGCCATGGCGCGATCGTCCGCCCTTGCCCCAAGGATCGTACCTCGGATGCCGGCGAGCGGCTAGTGGCAGTCTTGGGAGGACTGCGAAACGGGGCAGCCCAAGGCGACAGCGGCTGGGAAAGGCGGAGCGCTCGCCGAGCGAGGCTGGGGGGGTGTATCTCCAGCGGCGATCTTTCTTCGCGATCCCGAAGCCGCGATTGATGCAACTTTCCTTGATTTCTCCGCGAAGGTTAACTTGGGTGCAAAAGAAAATTCTCCCGCCCGGAAAGGGGATTTCTTATTTCGCGGTTTTATTATTTTCTTCGGAGGAGGTTAGTTCCTCCTCATCTTTAATTCACACCTTCTAGAAACGGCGGATCCGTGTGCTGAGGGCATGACTGGAACATGGTACCTCTCCAGGAAATAATCAGGGTTATTTATCGACAAAAGAGACTCTGGCTCACTTCTCACCTTTCTTCTGCTTGGGAATAGGTTGGTGAAATGCATTTGAGTGGCAGCCCTCGCACCTTGGGCAAAAACTGTTAATAAGGGTGTGGTTGGAGGTACCAGGTCCTTCGCTAACCATGCATCTTCTCAAAACATTTGGCTTACTTTGGCACATGGTCAGGCTGTTTATCTTTGCCCAGGTAACATCCCAAGCAACATTAAACGGCGATGGTATTGTCAGAAAAGGTCTGGAGTGTGAATTGTGGTGCCAGCCGGCTCTTCCGGTACTTCAACAAGCGGCCCACAAGCAAGAAGCAGCTTGGGGTGTGGGGCACGTAGATGGGATTCCTGAGATTTCCATACCCAAAGAGCATGTAAACAAACTCCAGGCTAAAGCTGGAGGTCAGAAGGGCTGGGCTCCACTGAAGGATTATAGTGATGCCAGCAAAGACCGGAGGGACACTCAGACTGTCAAGGATGGGGAAGGTGTGCATCAGGCTGGGGGTCATTTGGAAAAAAGAGGCGAAAGTCATTTGAGGCAAGATTCTTCTGTAGTTTTGAGGACCAGAAATGCTTTTAAGGCTGAAGAGTGGGAGAAGAGCTCAGCAGGAATTGGCCACAGGAAATACGCAAGACGCAAGCGTGGGGCTGGGGAGTCCCAGGATACAAGAGGAGCAAAAAAAAGTAAAACTTTCAAGAACAGGCACTACATCAGTGACTTCAATATCTCAGTGGATAGTCACATAACTCCCTTTCAGGGAGTTGTGAGAAATGTTGTGCCTCAGGCGTTACCCTTGAATGGCTCAACCAGTCACATGGCAGGAAGGGTACCTGCTACCCTCAGAAACGGGACCTTCCAACCATCTCATGTAAAGAACCCTTTTTACCCGCTGACTCAGGAGTCCTATGGTGCCTACGCAGTCATGTGTTTGTCAGTAATAATCTTTGGCATTGGGATAATGGGGAACATGGCAGTGATGTGCATTGTCTGCCATAACTACTATATGAGGAGCATCTCCAACTCTTTGCTAGCCAACTTAGCCTTTTGGGATTTCCTTATCATTTTTTTCTGCCTGCCTCTGGTGATCTTCCAAGAACTCACCAAAAAGTGGCTGTTGGATGATTTCTCCTGCAAAATTGTACCTTACATTGAGGTAAGTAACAATAAATGTCACCGATCTGTAGTTTCATAGAGGCTCATGAGATTGGGATCATGGGCCCAATGCTTTCTTAATGAATTGGAATCAGAATCCCACTGCTTTGGTCTTTAATATTTGCAAATAATTACCTAAGATCTGTTGACTCTACCTGATCCTTAGAAATTGAGGATGCCCTGCTTCCTTACATCTGGTGTGTCTACTTTCACTTTTTGCATTTTTTCCTTGATAATGTCATTTATTGTATTAAATTCAAGACATGAACTATTTATCTGATTGTGGTATGGTTCTTTCTCAGTCTGCTAGCTAGTTCTGCTAGAAGTATGCAGTGCAAATATAAGTTAAATGAGGCCAGATTTATGTTTAGATATTTGGCTCTGTTCCAAAGATCTCAGGTGTAGGCATTGTCCATTCTTGTTTTACAAACTCCAGTAATTTATTCCAAGGGCATGCAATCTGTTACTCTCCCTTGCCTTTGGCTATGCTGATTGCAGCTGATTGTGGCTGGAATTTCAAACATCTGCAAGGTACTAGATTGCTTAATCTTTATTCAATCAAAAAGGGTTGTGCAACCTTCAATAGATAATATTTTCTGAACTGAAGAGATGATGTAAAGTTAAAAATGGTCTTTCTACATTTCTCACTGCTTTTTGATTTACAAATGAGAAATGATTAGGTATAACTAATATAAGCCCTTTGTCTTTATTTTATGAAATAAGTTGCATTATAAATTGGAACATTTGCTTCCAACTTTCAACTTACTAGGGTGTTGAAACTGTATATTGGCTTTTATCCAAATATTGTAGGCCAATTGATGGAGTTAAACAAATCTTTGTTGGATCCAAGTGTTTGCATCCAAACTTGTATGCATAAATATAATATCCTTGTTACATATCTTATCAGATTTACTGTAGAAGAAAATACCTCATTTCTACAGGTGAAAGTTAATAGAGTAAAAGCATGAAAGCCACAAACATGATTGTTGCAATATTAACAATATTATTTTTATTTATCAAATTTGTTTGTCACCCATCTCACAGTTCAGGCAACTCTGAGCAGTTTACATCAACATATAGTAACAATTATAAAATGGATTAAAATTACAAAAATGCAAGCAAACTAAAAATATTAAAATATTAACTTGGTTTTGGGTCACTTGCTTTGTTTTTGTTTTGTTTTACTCTTTTAAATATCTCAGGTTTTGATTAAATCCTTGGCTTTGGGCAAGGGAACAGATATTTTGCTATCCTGCTTGGACAGACTCCTCTCCACTGTTCAGTTGTCTGTTTTATTTATTTCCTGGAAAAAAAGAAACCATTAAATCTGGTTGATAGTGTGGAATGATTCTATGCATGTGACAGTATGCTTGATATCATTCATTTAATTAGCAGCAGATGGGTAAATGAAGGGAAATAGGATGCTTGCAGTCCCCTAGAAAGTCCCATTTCTAGTAGTCCATTAATCAGGCAAAGAAATTATTTCCTGAATTGTATTTAAATTGCATGCATGGCAGGAAATGGAAAAGAAGGCGTGGATTTTTTTTCTGGTCCTCTTATAGTGGAAAGTGCAATATTGTGGAAATACATTGACCAAATAAATCACTTTGATTTGTAACTTTAAAAGCTTGCCTGTAAGATATGACCCCTAACTGTAGAACTTCCCATAAAACACAGGAGCATGGAGTAAACATGACCTTTTCCATGACAGACCTAGAGCCATTTAATAAATTTAAGACGTCAGTGTAACAACCTGTCAGTTTATATTGGAGGTTTACTACCTTGACAGTAATATTGGGGTTAAAGCAGGGATGAGACACTTCTCATTTTCACTGAACAGAATTCCTCACCACTGAGCTTGTTGTAATAGCTTAAATTAATATGTAAGCTTAAAATTCTTTTATGTTGGGTTAAGAACTTTTTAAAGTACAGGTCCAATAGTGAAAACATATTAGCATGCTGGATCATGCTGTTCAATTGCAGCATCATGTTCAATAGTGTATAATAAATGGCTTTATTAAGAAATGAAAAAAAATGGAGTAGAGATATGCATCACATAGAAGATGTATTTTGTTCCAAGCTTGGAAAATTCCAGACAATTATTTCATAGTTGGAACAATTCAAAGAAAAAAATGATTTGTGTGTTCCTGCTCAAACTACTGCCTCTTCATGCCATGTTTTGTTTCACACTTGGAGCAAATTTCTCGTAACCTATGTTGTGTTTTATACTAAGAACACTGACAATGGCCATTTTGAGCTTAGAACATTTCACCATCGTAATGTTTGTAGAGTCCTAGAACATTATATAAATAAGATGTGCCCCTATTTTTAATCCCAAACATGTATTGTTCAGAGGCCTGTTATCGCTGAACATTTGAAGGTAAATAAGCCTTAGTTGATGTATCTTTCATATGTTCATCTAATCCACGGGTGTCAAACTTGATCGCGTCATGTGACATATGACTTTTTTGCCTTTGCAGAGCTGGGGTGGGCGTGGCCTGCGCGTGACCGCATCTGGCCCGCATGCCACCAGTTTGACACCCCTGTTCTAATCCCTTGTAAAGCAGGATAATTGTGCTCTTCTAGCGGTTGATGAATTACAAGCATTACTGTAAAGGCCTCAATTTGCATCAGCAATAATGAAAGCTGCTGGGAGTTATATCTCAATAATCTCTGGAGGACTTTATAGTTTCTAAAAAAAAAGTATTCCTCAGTTTAAGTCTCAGTGAGTTTATGGACATGTTGGAGTATTCTTGACAACTGTTCAGAATGACTTGCCATTGATTTTTTTCTTCAATGTTCAGGTTACTTGAAAATGAGAGTGAATATGATAATGCTATTAATCTTCCATTTTTCCAAACTAGGTGAGTTTTTTTTCACAGTGAAGAAAAAAATGCAATTTTTGCCATCTTCAGATATACGTTCTCATGATACAGAGAAATCTGTTAAATTTGATATTGCAGAACAGTCAACTTAAAGAATCACCTTGCAACCTAAATGTAAGGTCTTTAAAAAAAAGATTATTAAGTAATCATTGTCATACAAAGGCTGATGGCAAGTCTATTGTAAAGGCATCATTAAAGTGATCTGTTTATTTCATTTATTTTTCATGTTTATATAGCCATCCATCTCACACAATTTAACTTGGGGAGGTGTACAATAAAAACTGTAAAATAGCAATATAAACAAAAATTCTACAATTAAAAACAGTATTATGATTCAGAGCAAGGAGATAGCATTAGATGTTACAAACAATGGAGCCATCTCATCAACTCATCATTCCCTTGTCATAATGCTAGCAGCGTATATGTTATTTTTCAATATGTAATTTGCTCCAAGAAATTTAAAATTAACTTAGAAGTAAGCACAATGGGGTACTTTATACCTTATTTCCAGGTATAACATTGTAGTCTGACGTTTCTGTATTATTTCTTCATTAATACAATTTTCTTCTAGAATTGTCCCAAAGGTGCTTTTCCAAGATGTTCTTGTCTTTCTTTGAAAATGTTTTGCTTCTCATCCAAAAAGCTTCTTCAGTTCTGACTGGATAGTGGGGAATGGAAGGATTTATAATCCTTGCAGACAGCTGGTCATTAGCATTGTTTTAGAGAGTCGCTGAGGCCACTTGAAGGCCTTCTTGTCTGTGTCTTCAGGGTCACCTGAATAGTGCAAATGGGTGGGAAGCCTTCATGGAATTGCTGAAAAGACTGTGTTGTGTGGTCTGCATTTTTTCTGGAAATCCATTCATACTCCCGCACCATTTGAAGGGTGTTCATCCCAAAGTGCATTCTTTTAAAGAATTGTTGACTCTCATCTTCAAATAAAAACAAGCAAAAAACACCTTTAGGACAACCATGACCTGGATGACTGAGAATTTCCATAGACATTTAGCTATGCATTTTGAGATGGAAAAACCTTCAAATGATGTGGGAGCATGAAAGGATTTCCAGAAAAATTGCAGACTACAGGAACCACTGAGGGAGAGATTAATCCAAAGAACTTTCAAAGGTGAGCATCCCTCCACCACTAATCTAGTACTGTACATTATATTCATGGGGTTGCTCAATGAAATTGTAATTCAAGTGTATAAATCTACTGAACCAGATCTTAAAACATGAGGAAGAAACTAAAATAACATTGCAGCTGATGTTGAAACCATGTTCTTTGTAAATCTAAACAAAGAACTTTGAAGGTGCTGGCTAAGTTTACCCTTTTATAAAAAGAAAAATGTAGATTTCAACTTAATTGCATGCCATGAATTTATAAATATGTATTAAGGCACTTGATTTGTGGTTTATGATCAGCATGAATCTTTTGATACCATCCTGGTAACTGTGAGGAAAATTTGTATTAATATTTGTTAATTTTTTTCCACTGAAGATGGAAAGGATTTTATTGAATCTCTTTAAAGACTTAAAACTCAATTTTCTGTTAATTTTCATGTGGCTACTATAAAACATGAACAAATTATGTAACAGCAATTTAATTTCCAGATGCATTGTGGAATTTTAATTTGCTGTTAGAATAATTATATTCATTTGCCATATGTTCATTTTTAATTTGGAACCTCTTTTTTGATGTTATATTTGTGAATTGGCTTTTAATCAATAATTTAAAGCCATATTATATGAAGTCCATCCTGATTGAAATATAATTTATATTACTTTGAAATAATTCAGAAAGCACATATTGTAAATTAATAAGAAATTAGAAAACCTGTATTTGCTTGTTTCATTTATTCTGAAATATGTTTTCTTTGTATTAATGCTCTTAATTTTCATGGAGCTGCTCCCTTGAATTGACGCTTAAATAGAGACAATATTTGGAATATTTAAGGCCAAGTGCTTTACTCTCAGTTCCGGTTTTCATCCATGTACCAATGGTGCGGCTGAACATATAAATGCAATAATAGAACAATATATAAGATGCTATATAAATTATCAACAGAACGATTGGGCAGACTTTTTGCTGTTTGTTGAAATAGCATACAATAATGTAGTG